CCTTCGACCTCGATATTTATCAGGGAAAAAATCCGCCGGCCTCCTTCAAGTTGGCACCGGGGGATTAGGTTTACCAACTAAAAGAGAACCCTGGGCCGGAGCCCTTTCCGGGAAAAAGCCCAAGGCAGCCCCAAGACGGCCCCAAAGGCGCCCAAGACGGTCAACATGATGGACCCACGAACCCGGAAAGGGATATAGACATGTGGAGCATGGACACGTTTTCATGATACCCAACTGGGCAACACCTCACGAAACATCCCACGAGACACCTCACGAAACAGCCCACGAGACACCTCACGAAACATTCCACGAGACACCTCACGAAACATTTCACGAGACACCCCGCGAAACATTCCACGAGACACCCCACGAAACATTCCACGACGACAGGCAACCACTCAACCAAGGCGGTGTGGTCGTGCTGGGGAGTGGTCGTGCTGGGGTGTGGTCGTGCTGGGGGGTGGTCGTGCTGGGGGGTGGTCGTGCTGGGGGGGTGGGTGCTGGGTGGGTGGCGTCGTGGTCGTGCTGTGGTGGTCGCTGGGGTGTGGTCGTGTGGGGTGCGTGGTGTGGGGTGTGGTCTTCGTGCTGTGGTAAGGTCGTGCTGGGGTGGTCGTGCTGGGGTGTGGTGCTCGTGCTGTGGGTGTGGTCGTGCTGGGTGTGTGGTCGTGCTGGTCGTGCTGGGGTGGTCGTGCTGGGGGTGGTCGTGCTGGGGTGTGGTCGTGCTGGGGCGTGGTCGTGCTGGGGTGGGGTCGTGCTGGGGTGGGGTCGTGCTGGGGTGGGTTCGTGCTGGGGTGCTCCGCACCCTGTGATTTATCGATCGGGTCGTGCTGGGGTGTGGTCGTGCTGGGGTGTGGTCGTGCTGGGGTGTGGTCGTGCTGGGGTGTGGTCGTGCTGGGGTGTGGTCGTGCTGGGGCGTGGTCGTGCTGGGGCGTGGTCGTGCTGGGGCGTGGTCGTGCTGGGGTGTGGTCGTGCTGTGGTGAGGTCGTGCTGGGGTGTGGTCGTGCTGGGGTGTGGTCTTGCTGGGGTAGGGTCGTGCTGGGGTCGGGTCGTGCTGGGGTGTGGTCGTGCTGGGGTATGGTCGTGCTGGGGTGGGGTCGTGCTGGGGTGGGGTCGTGCTGGGGTCTGGTCGTGCTGGGGTGTGGTCGTGCTGGGGTATGGTCGTGCTAGGGTGGGGTCGTGCATTTCGCTCGAGACATCCTGCCAAAATTCCAGGAAATCGTACAAAAACAAACGAATTAGTCGAGACATCATCGAAATTCCTTCGCGCGGGGCGCTTTTCCGCGTCGCGGTCGGCTCTGCAAAACAAGCGTTTCGCTCGAGACATCCTCGGCAAACTCTGCGGAGCAAGCGTTTCGCTCGAGACATCCTCAACTCTGCAAAAACAGCGTTTCGCTCGAGACATCCTCAAATTCTGAAAAACAAGCGTTTCGCTCGAGACATCCTCAAATTTTAATTCGCCGGCCTCCTTCGACCTCGTTATTTATCAGGGAAAAAATTCGCCGGCCTCCCTCAAGCAGGCACCGGGGGACAGGTTTACCTACTAAAAGAGAACCCTGGGCCGATGCCCTTTCCGGGAAAAAGGGCCCCAAGACGGCCCTAGAACGGGCCCAAGAGAGGGAACACGAACCAAGAATCCGAGCCTTTCAGAACCCCTGGGGACCTCTCACCTCGGGAGTCCTCCGAAGATCTCAAGCATCCCCGTCTTGGCGGCGCGTAAGGCGGGGTGGGCGCAGGATGCGGCGTTCTCTCAGGCTGCTTGCCTCCCAAAAGGCCGGAGGGCTTCCAGGAGCCCCCCGCCCTCTTAGAAGAACGCTTCCCCCCTCGCCCCACCCCCGACCAAGTTCCGCCCACAGAACGATCCACAGGCCCCTCCCAGGCCCAATCCTGGCAAGTTTTTCGAGACGCGCCCAGCCCCCGAGGCGCCAACCACAAGCAAGACCACGGCGTCGTCGATGTCGAGGCGCGCCGGGCAAGGCGAGACGAGGGCGCGAGCATCCGCTGGGAGGAGGCGGGGCCCTGGTAGGCCAGCGAGGGCGGGCTGGGGCCCTCGGAGGCTGTCATGGGAGACGAGGTGGGGGAGGCCCGTCTGCGGTGAGGAAACATCCCCCGACCTCCGACGTCAACCAACCCTCTGGGCGTAGGTGGTTCAGGGAGTGAGTCCATCCGATCTTCCTCTCTCCCCTCCGGGGGAGCTAAACTACCCCTCCCCCTACCCCTCTCCCTGGGTCTGAGGGGGACCTCCGCGAGGGGTTGGAGCGTCCAAAATGGAATGGCCCGATGTAGCCTCCACTATCGCACAAAATCTCCCAATTCCCTACCTAGGCTCTGCCTAGAAGGGTTCTTACTCTCTGAGCTTAAAGGGGCCGGGCAGTGGAAATCGCCCCGGGCGGTTCCCCCAGGATCCGCCCCGCGGTTCCCCCAGTTGCGCCCCCTGGGTTCACCCAGCTTAGCTTAGCTAAGCTTAGCCACGCTTCGCTTAGCTTCGCTTAGCTTAGCTTAGCTTAGCTTAGCTTAGCTTAGCTTATCTCATCTCATATTAGCTTAGGTTAGCTTAGCTAAGCTTTGCCTAGCCTAGCCTAGCCTAGCTTAGCTTAGCTTAACTTAGCATATATCATCTTAGCTTAGCCTAGCTTAACCTAGCCTAGCCTAGCCTAGCCTAGCTTAACTTAGCTTAGCTTAGCTTAGCCTAGCCTAGCCTAGCTTACCTGAGCGTAGCTAAATTAAACAGCAACAGCAAACGCAAAAGCAAAGGCAAGAGCAAAATCAAAGGCCATGCAAAGCAAAAGCAACACCAATGCGAAAGTGTAGATGTAGATGCAGGTGCAGGTGTAGGTGTAGATGTAGATGTAGATGTAGGTGTAGGTGTAGATGTAAGTGTAGATGTAGATGTAGATGTGAGTCTCCCTGTTGATGTTGATGTAGATGTAGATGCAGGTGTAGATGTAAATGCAGCTGTCGGTGTAGATGTAGATGTTGCTTTCCTAAATGCTCCAACTCCTAGGTAGGGTCGCACTGGGATAATGTTGTTCGATGTAGCTTCCAAAGTACCTTCGAGAGGCGCCACGATCGTCCCAAAATGGTATCAAGTGGCCACTAAGCCTCCCAAAGCCCTCCCGAGAGGCCAGAATCTGTCCCAAACCAAAGGACAATCAATGTTTATTATTGTCTTATCGCATTTTCGCATCCGATGAGCTCTGGAAACCTCAAGATGGCTCCAAGATTGCCCAAGAGAGTCCGAATGACGGCCCCACGAGCGTTCCAAGAGACCAATGCTTCGGCCTGCAACGGGGGAACTGACATTGGCGCCCTCCTCTTTTTCCAATCGATGGTATCAAGAGAGCCCCGAAGGCATCCAGGTCGGCCTCAAGAGGGCCTCACACACGGCCCGATTGAGCGCACGAGGGACTCCCGCATCGACAGGTCAGCGACGGCGTTCATGATCGGTCCCTTGGCCTGCTCGGGCTGACCCCGATCTTCGGTTCGACGGCTGGCCCCTCTCATTGCTCCACTGCGTGCCCCTAGACTTCCCCTGACTCGCCTGGGCATCGATGCCGGATGGGCTGGTGGGAGACGAGAGGCGCCAAACATTCCTGGAATTCGGGCGCCCTGCGGCAGTTTCCGGCCGCGGGGCTGACAAGCAACTGCTGCGGATGAGGAAGCGGCCCCCAGGAATGGGGCCGGAGCCTCGGAGCCCGCGTCCCACGTCCAAAAGAAAGAGCAACATGTCTGGTATGGGCCCGTTTGCGCGACCGCGACTGCTCTCTCTCTCTCTCTCTCTCTCTACACATGCTGCCGCCAGTCCGGCACACCGTCCTGACAAGACCGTAGAGGCCGAGGCGCTGGCACGCTTACCGAGAAAAGGCAGGGTCTAGAGAGCGCCGTGCTGTACGAACTTGGAGGGGGGGGCGCACGAGAGGCACCCGCAGGGAGGCCGAAGGGGAGCAGCAGTGGTAACAAGACGGGGCGCTGGGGGGCGGAGCAACGGGATTACGAGCGGGAGGACGGGGAAAGAGGCGGGAGGGAAGAGGAAGAGGGAGGAAGAGGGAGAGGGGAGCAGGAGGAGAGTGGAGAAGGGATGAGAAGCATCTGCGGGGGGCAGAGGTGCGACGAGGTGGGATCAAGATAGCGACGAGGAAGGCAGAGGACGCCGACAGGTGACGAGGGACGACCGACGAGGAACGAGGGAAGAGGGCTGAGAAAGATGAGGGACACAGCGATGAGGCGGTCCGCCTGTCTTCCTCAACATCATCGTACTCCTGCATTCTCCCCCTCCCGTCCGCACCGAGAGAAGATAACCGTGCCCTCTACTACCCCAGAACGATCTGCGACCTGGTCCACGTGGCAGCCAAGTGGCGATGTCTGCAGTGCACCCAAGGGTTGCACTCGAGCTGGCATCTGGAGTGCTGTGCCTCGGTCAGTGCTCCCCAAACTTCTCGGGGCCCGATGCGTCATCGACACACGCCCCGCGGGAACACAGAGAAAGCGATACCAGGTTGAGTGGCTGAGCAGATTCACTACACATACACTTCGTGAGTGGGGCAAGTACTGCATGGCCAACTGCCACGCGTGTGTGGCATTTTGCCACCTCTGGCTTTCGGCACATCGGGAAGAGGTGCCCAGGGGCCAATCGTCAGGGTGCCGATAATCCTTTGCGGATCACCAGGTGGCTCTACCCCAGACGGGAGGGGCCCCCGATGGCGGTAAACGATGATTTGTTCCTGGGTGAACGTGCGGAGGCTGTCTCATCGACCGCTGCCTCGTCGACGGCCTCTGCCCTGCAGCGCGGGCCAGGGTTTGTTCCTTCGGCCGAGGCCTCGCCGATAGTGATTCATATTTGAATTCGGGGGCGGGCCGCGTCAGTAGTGGCCGTCGGCTCTCGTTGAGGTCGCCTCACCCCTCACCCCCTGCCGTGCACTCTCCGCCTTCACTCTTCCGCCCCTTCTCCGCGCCCCCCCCCCTTCCTCTCCTGCTCTCACCGCCTCCCAGCGGGTTCGACGAGCCTCGGCCATGGCGACGCCAGTCCTCTCGCCGACGCCGAAGCGGCAAGCATCCTGGCGAAGGGGTGGGCGACTTCTTCACCCACCTCTTCCTGCTCTTCCTGCTTCTCCTGATCGTACTCCTTCTTTATTTCGTTCTTTGTTTGTTTCGAGCGCAATCCGCCAAGGGTTGCAGCTGCCGCGGGCTTTCCCTGGCGGACGGGGGCAAGCGTCAGACACTCCGTATATGTCTTGGGAACTGATACCAGCGACCTGCATGCCACACGTGCTGCGATGTGGGGGCAGCCAATCTTCAGAGTCTGGGGTTGGTCATCCGTGAGTCTGCCAAGAGCTCAGCCAACCCTTCACCCTGCCACGGCCAGCCCCACCGACACGTCTGGAGATGCGACAGGGAGGAGATGTATAAGGACACGTGATGGAGGAGGGGGAGGAAGAGGAGGAGGAGGAGGAGGAGGAGGAGGAGGAAAAAGTGGAGAAGAGAGGAGAATGGGGAGAGGAACTTTTTGGCGCCTTGCTTAAGCATTGGGACTATCTCTAGAGCTAAATGTCTTCTTGTGAGCTCCGTGAAAACTATCGGGGTCTACTGGGAAGCTCTAGAGCACCTCGGAGAAGTCCTCCTTGAACAAATACTGGAGCCCTCTTGGGCATTTTGGGGGCCCTTTTGCGCGGGGCCCGGTGGGCAATCTAGGCTCTTGGGCAGCTCTGGGGCGTCTTGGGGCTCTCTTGGGGGGCCACTAGAGGCTCAGTTAGGCTGTCTGGGGTCCGTCTTGAGCTGTCTTGGGCCCTTTTGGGCCGCCGTGGTATGCTCGTCGGGGAATCCTTGGCCATGTTGGGGCGATATCAAAAGTAGTTGGAGCAGTGGGGGGCCGTTCTGGGCCCATCATAGGGAGGGGCTGTCATCCAGCATCCTCGTGGGCCGTCGGTGGGGCCTGCTGGCGAGTCTTCGGGCCCTGTTGGGCCACCATGGAACTCGTCCGGGGTCCCGGTCCGGGGTCCTCTTGGGCCGTCCTGCCGCCCACTTGAAAGCGTCAAGACTGTCCCGGGGCGGCGCGGCGGTTCCGTGCCACGCCGGCGCGAGCGCGGCGGCGGCTCGCCACGGCATTGCTATGTTTTCTTCTCTTCTCTTCTCGTTACCTTTCCTTTTCCTCTCCTCCTTCCTCCCCTCCTCCTCCTCCTCCTCCTCCCCCCTCCCCCCTCCTCCTCCCCTCCTCCTCCCCCCTCCTCCTCCCCCCTTTCTCCCCCTCCTCTTCCTCCTCCTCCTCCTCCTCCTCCTTTCCTCCTCCCCTCCCTCCCCCCTCCTCCTCCTCCTCCTCCTCCTCCTCCTCCTCCTCCCCCTCCTCCTCCCCCTCCTCCTCCTCCCCCCAGTGGCGAGCCAGGGGGCGCGAGTTGCCCCTGTTTTCGCCACTACCTGTAGGGAGGGGGTCGGGGGCAACGGCCCCCCATCGACGCGGGGCGCGCGGGCAGGCCGCCCCGCCAAGTGCGGCGGTCCGTGAGGTGCAGGGACCTCAGCGTATCGCTGGCTCTGGGGACCTGCCGCCAGGCGCGAAGGAGCGGCGGCCCACTGAAAGCGAGGGGCGGAGATTGAGGGCGCATGGCGGACAACACGAGGGGCGGGGGGGGGGGCGGCGGCAGTAATCCTGAGGAAAAGCGCTGGAGCCCCTTGTGCACTCTGGCAAGCCCACCCAGCGGGCTGGCGATCAGGCCCTCCCTGGGGTGAGGGGAAACGCCGCTCTCGCGCTCCCGAAGCAACATCCCCTCGAAAATATTCCAACCTCGTCTTTCTTCTCCTCCCCCTCCCCCACGTGGGCCCCAGAGCCCGCAAAAAGGACAGGACAGCAAAGGGAAATGTGCCAGAGCTGAGAGGCAACGATGCAGGGGGGGTTGGATCAGAGATGGGAGACATGTTTTAATGGCCTGGCAACTGAATCGTGAACACCTGGCACTCAAGAGTAGAATGTTAGCTCCGACTGCAGCAGACTCGCTGCGCCACAGGCGACAGCTCGATGCCCTTACGGGGGTGGGCTGGTTGGGCTGAGAAGCCACTGCCACCAAACTGGCGACGGTTAGACGATGCTGAACTCGATTCACTTCCAAACCAGCTCTGAATCTGCATCTAAGGGATGAAAGCCACAGGCGTCCAGGCCAGCAAGCATGCTGCAGACCCTCTGGCTCCAGACAGCGCAACGCATTCCTATAAGAGAGGCATTGGCAAGGCGCGCGCCGCTGGCAAGAGGAGGACCGGCTGCATGCGCAGCGAAACATCTCGACCAAGACTCCCGAGAATAGGCAAACACCTCGGTTCTCTGTTAGATGTCCCCTGGTCGACGCGCTCGGTTGCTTCATCAGCGACCCATGCGTTGTGGCACTCAGTTGCCTCGGGGCATAGAGCAGTTTTGAGTTCAGCCACAACGATAAGTTGAAGAGGAAAAGCTTGCGCAAGATACATCTGAAAAAACACCTAGCTTACGCAATTGCATTCAATCATAAAAACAACAGCGTAGAACAGCATATTCATACGTCCGTCGCATAAGTCGCATAAGATCTAAACAGGATGCACTGGGCTTGCCGAAAAATACTAGAACAAAGAAATTACCCAATACTAGCCTAACAAACGGTTTGCAAACGCAAACGTGAATAACGCACGGCATGGTCCTGCAAATACCAGCGGCGTGCAGGCATCTTTCAGCAACCAAGACATGGCAAGCTATGATACAATAGTGACACCGACAAGGGCAGTGGAAGCCAGGCAGCTGCTAACGGCGAGTAATGCTTGCACCCCTTCCTGGACGAGCAGATCATGGAGATGTGTTGCCTGCCACCAGGCCTCATCCAGATCCAGTGGATATTCATCCGCCTCGAAGCGGCTCGCAAAACATACAAAACACATAGGAGAACAGCGAATAACCATAAACAGAAGAAGCGGCGCGTGCCATAGCGCTGCCGGGGCGACCAGAACTAATAACGGTCGTTTCAATGATGGACGCCGCCAAGTGTGCGCAGACCACGCGCGGCCACACAGCCATGTTAGCCCTGATCGAACAATGCCGCGCCTCGTTTGAATAGTTGGCAAGCCCAGATGGCGCGTGCAAGCGTGCCTTGAGCAAACATGGCCTCAACAAGAATGGAGTGGGCCATAACGGTTACGGATTTGGGGCGGGAAATCCGCCGACCCTTTCGGCCTGTGCGAGGGGCTTGTCCGCCCGACTCGTCGTCTCCGTGATTCGTTAGTCGTTGTCTCTGTCGCCCACTTTCCCTGCGCCCCCCCTTTCCCTGGGCCCGTCGCCGCTCCCCCCCTTTCCCTGGGCCATCCTCCTCCTCAAGCGCTGGGCCCGTAGCCGTTCTCTCCCTTTCCCTAGGCCTTCCTCCTCTTGCGCGCCAACGAAAGCAAACTATTGAGCAACGTAATTGACTCGAAAGAAAGCCCTTTCCCTTTGATCCCTCCCCCGCTGGGAGGAGGGGGTGCCCAGGCGGGGGTCCTGGGCGATGTCGGAGGGGGGTCCCGGGGGGAGGTCCCAGGTCAGATGCACCTCCTCCCCCAGGGGGGTGCTAGGGCCCAAAACTTACTCCAACACGGGCCAAAAATGCCCCAAGAATCTCCCAAAACGACGGCCCCAGAGAGCCCCAAATCGCCGAACGATCTGTCCCCCCAAATCGCCACAAGACGGCCCACGAGGCCTCCAGAAGGGACCTAAAACGGCCCAAGAGGGCCCCAACCGTGCCCAAGACGCCTCCAAGACGACGGCCCAAGACGCCCCCAAGACGGTTCCAAGAGGGTGCCCGCACGAGGGACAAAAACTGGCATTTCGAGCCGTGGGCCCCGAGAGGCTCCCAGGAGGAACCAACAGGCCCCCAAGGGGCCCCCAAGGGGCCCTCAAAGGCCTCCAAAAAGCCCTTGAACTGTCCCCCAAACACCAAAAAACACCCATGAGGACTCTGAACCACGTCAGCGTCGCCGCCGCCGCCGCCGCCGTTGTCGTCGTTCCCCATCAGCATCGGCGGCGCCGGCCGTAAGGCCTTCGCAATGCGAGCCTGGAACCGGCAATACATCGAGGAGAAAGCAGCGAGAAACCCCCGATTGCGAAACCGCATGGTCCTGGGCGGGGGGGCCATCGGGCGCCTACCATTGGCGATGCGTGGGCGATCAGCGGTAGATGCGTTCACGCCTGGGCGCAGGACCCCCCCCCCCTTAGCGTTGCCCATTGGGGGGCAGGCCAGGGCGGGCGAGGGTCGGCAAAGAGGAAAGGGGGTGGAAGCTACATGCGATCGCGCTTCATCGGGCATCCTACTTGTGCATCCCATTCCTTTCTATTGCGCGGATTGTTTCTCTATCCGCGAACGCGCATCATGCCGACCTGCAAATCCAGCAGAAAGACCACATCGCGTTCTACGCAATCGGGGGAGAAAAAAAAATGTTGCGTGCATCGGAGGAATAGGAAGAGGAGGATGAGCCTTGGCGCGACTGGGGAGGGGGGAGAGAGAGGCCCCACGGGGCCTACCTGTCCTGAGCACGGAGCACCATCAGCTCACGGCAAGCCACGGAGCGGATGGCCTCGGCGCGCAGACGGGCAGCTATCGACAACCTGGCGGAACGCGGGCCCGAACTCCCAGAGGCGCGCTGAGCGTTGAATGCAGCGTGAACCGCGTCAACAGCGAGCGCAAATGACTGCGGGCCCTCGCTTTCATCGGAGAGGTCGGCAGCAAAAAGTGAAAAAAAAGAAGGAATATTGCTGTGGCCCCAGATTCCAAGGAGTTGGGGCAAACACTTCTGGACTAAAAGAAGCACGCACGGGCAACTCATGAAATGGGGATCTCATGACCACCTACAAGGAAGCAGCCGAATGTACAATTCTGGCGACCCTGACGGAACCTCCGAGACATAGCCCAAGCGTTCGCTATTGCTTTGATGGCCGAAGAGGCTATACACGGGCCCAACCCACGAGCAATCAAGGCGATCCGAATGCGACGAACAGAAACCTGATCTCGGGGGGTAGGGGACCAGTCGTTGAGACGGGCACAGAGGGCAGGGGGCGGGGAGGAGGTGGGAAAGAAACGAT